AACAGGAGCTCTTGCAGTTTAGCTTCAAATCCTCCTCCAACCTCCTCCACTTGAGCTCTGTATTTGAAGGTTTTGGAGCTTAAAAATGTCGCTTCTCCCCTTACTCTCACACTCTGCCTCTATCACGCTCACATTTCGGTGCCCAGGTGTGCAGGCTTTTTCTCCGCCCCAAGGATCCAGCCCCAGCAGGATGTCCTCCAATTTAACTCAATTAAATTTAGCAATTTAATTTAATTTAATTTGACAATTTAATTCTAATACTCTCTACCTGGAGACGGCGTCAGATCCCACAGGGTAAGGGCTCAGTCCCACAGATGTGGCCCCTCACCCTTCAGGCACCAACCAGGTTATTTCTTGCCTGTGCTTCTGATGGGCTATAAACTGGAGGTCCCCACAACACGTGCCTTGGGTTTGGCAATTTGCTAGAGCGGCTCACAGTATTCAGGGAAACAATTTACTTAACTAGATTATGGGTCTATGATAAAAGGAACATTATACGGGTCTATGATGACTCAGGAACAGCCAGAGAGAAGAGGTGAACAGGGCTAGGTATGGGGAAAGGAATATGAAGCTACCATGGCCTCTCCAGGCACACCACCCTTCCAGTACCTCCGCATGTTCACCAAACCAGCTTTTTTTTGGAAGCTTCATTATGTAGGCACAATCGATTAAATAAATCATTGGCCCTTGGTGACAGAGTCTGTCTCCAGCTCCTCTCCCTTCGTGGGAGGCAGGGCTGAAAATTTCAACTTTGTAATGGGGGCTGGTTCCCATGGCAACCAGCCCCCTTTCCCCAGTCACCTATTAACATAAAGTCAAGTGTTGAAAGAGGCATGTTATGAATAACAAAAGATACCCATTTTACCTCCATTACTCTGGAGCTATTTCAGGAACTGGGAACAAAAACTAAATATTATACCATTAGAACAAAATATTATAACAAAAGATGTCCCTATAGCTCTTCTCACTTTAGGAAATCACAAGCATTTTAGGGGTTATATTCCTGGAAGCTTGGAGGAAGACCAAAATGTATATGTATCTTGTCGTATCACAGTGTCTCAATTTTCTCTTCTCCTTTAATTTTTGTTTCCAATTTTGCTAATTTCTATTTCTCTGTCATAAACACCTTTAGTGCAGAACCCTATCTATTTTCTCAGAGGGATGTGGATACCTACCGCGGCACGGTCTCACAGTTCCTTAAATTAACCAAGACTATCAAAAGGAGAAAATCAAATTAATATCCGAAGTCTTCTATGAAATGTGCTGTGGCAGAGACTGCTCTGTATTCATGGAATTCTATTTCCTTTTCCTCCTGGACACAAGCTGGACTAAGTTTCCCAGCCTCTTGTGCACTTAGGTTGGCCATGTGACCAAGCGCTGGCCAGTGGAACGAAGGTGGGCTTGTTGAACATCACTTCCAGGTCTGGCTGGAAAAAAAACTCCTTCCTTCGTGATCTTTCTTTTCCTTTCTGACAGCTGACTACAAAGAGGGCAAGGCCTTAGAAGATGAAAGACCGTATCATGGAAGTGAAAGGGCGGGCCTATGCCGGCCGACTCCATCTTGTTCTGTGTTCTTCACCTTGACCACACCTCCTCCCCTTGAGTAGCCCGCCCCCCCTCACCTGCCTAACAGGACTCGGACCCTGTCCCAGCCAATCGGCTGAGGCCACAGCCATTAACTCACCAACTGCCCCTAGGCCCCAATAAAATCTTTGTCCTTTTGAAACTCGCTCTCTCTCCCCTGTATCCCACCGCTGCGTCGGTGCAGGTAGGGGATTGAGCTCGAGCTAGCTCGAATAAAGGCTCTCTTGCTTTTACATCGGACTCGGCTCCCTGGCGGTCTTTGGGGATCACGAATTCAGGGCATAACATTTGGGGGCTCGGCCCGGGAATCCCCAAGACCCTGAGGGACCCCCGACCCGGAGAGCCTGAGTGGCCACGGTTAGTGTCTGTTTGTTCTGTCTTTTCCGTGTGAACTCATTTCTGGAGTTCTGGGAGTGCCCGACGCGGTCTAAGTGGACGCACTGGAGGACCACGGGCCGGGAGTTTTGGAAGACGTTCCGATCCTCCCTTCTGGAGGGACGTGGAATCCCCTCATCGGTTTTGGAGGGACGTGGAATCCCCTCAAAGGTCTAAGCTAGCTTTCAGTTTTGCTTCCATGGAGTTGGAAGACTTTCTAGGGCCCCTCTGTTTGTCTGTTTTTGTGTTTCTCTGTTTTGTTCTGTGGACTTACTGGACGGACGTTATGGGACAGACTCACACTACTCCTCTAAGTATTATGACTGATCACTTTAAGGATGTGAGGGGAAGAGCTAACAACCTCAGTGTGGAAGTCCGAAAGGGTCGGTGGCAGTTTTTTTGTTCTAGCGAGTGGCCAACTTTCAATGTCAGATGGCCACCAGAGGGGACCTTCGACCTCCCTACCATCCACCGAGTCAGGAGTGTCCTCTCTCGGCCTAAGACGGGCCATCTTGATCAGCTCCCTTACATTATCACTTGGCAGGACCTTGTAGAAGACCCACCCTCTTGGCTTAAGCCCTTCCTAGCCCCGCTCCCCCCGGAGCCAAAACCCATTCTTGCTTTGCAGGGGACAAAGAAGAAGAGTCTCACCCAGCCTTCACCCCTCTACCCTGTCCTACAAGGGGGGGCTGAAGAAGAATTAATTTTTCCTCCCCCGTATAACCCCTCTAGGATGCCGGAAGAACACCATCCTCCCCCTCCGGGGGAGGCAGACGCTGTTCCGAGAGCGGGAGGCGGAAACGCTCCAGGGGGAAGCCCGCCCTTTACCAGACAAAGGGCTCAGAGGGGGCAATCCGCCTCCGCCACCGACTCCACTGTTCTGCCCCTGCGAGACACCAGACCCCCAGACATGGAGGGGAATCAGCCCCATCAGTGTTGGCCTTTCGCCACTAGTGACCTCTACAATTGGAAAGCTCAGAATCCTAAGTTTTCTGAGAAACCGGCAGGGCTTATTGATTTATTAGACTCTGTTCTTTTTACCCATCAGCCCACGTGGGACGATTGCCAGCAGCTTTTGCAGGTCCTGTTCACGACTGAAGAAAGAGAAAGAATCCTCAATGAGGCCCGAAAACTAGTTCCAGGCGCAGACGGGAATCCCACCACCAACCAGGCTCAGATAGATGCCTCCTTCCCCTTAACTCGGCCCCAGTGGGATTTCAACACGGCAGAAAGTAAGGAGAGGCTCCGGGTCTACCGCCAGACTCTAATGGGGGGTCTCCGAATGGCTGCTAGAAAGCCAACCAATTTGGCCAAGGTAGGAAATGTACAACAGGGAAAAGATGAATCTCCGGCTGCCTTTTTAGAACGGATCATGGAGGCATTCCGTACCTACACCCCCATGGATCCAGAGGCTCCGGAAAGCAAGGCAGCTGTTATCGTGGCCTTTGTAAACCAATCGGCCATAGACATTAGGAGAAAATTACAGAAAATAGATAGACTAGGAGAAAAAAGTCTGCAGGACTTACTGGTGGTAGCCGAAAAGGTATATAACAACCGGGAGCCTCCTGAGGACAAGCAGGCTCGCGCCATGGCGGCTGCCAGCAGTAAGCAGACTCGAGACCTGGCCAGAATACTACTAGCTATCATTGCTGACTTCCCCAAGGAACGAGACCGCCGTCTCCGGCAGCTGGCAGACGACACAAGAAAAGGTAAAGGAACCACCAAGGGGGGGAAGCAGAGGCTGCAGAAGGATCAGTGCGCATACTGCAAGGAGATAGGGCATTGGGCCCGAGATTGTCCAAAAAGGGCCGGCGGGAAGGGAAGCAAGACTGATCGAGTAAAAGTCCTAGAGCTAGATGAACTAAGTGATTAGGGGAGTCGGGGTTCGGACCCTCTCCCCGAACCCAGGGTAACTCTTTTTTTTTTTTTTTCAACGTTTATTTATTTTTGGGACAGAGAGAGACAGAGCATGAACGGGGGAGGGGCAGAGAGAGAGGGAGACACAGAATCGGAAACAGGCTCCAGGCTCTGAGCCATCAGCCCAGAGCCCAATGCGGGGCTCGAACTCACGGACTGCGAGATCGTGACCTGGCTGAAGTTGGACGCTTAACCGACTGCGCCCCCCAGGCGCCCCCCAGGGTAACTCTTAAAGTGGAGGGGACCCCTGTTGACTTCCTTGTCAACACCGGAGCATAACATTCGGTCCTCCACACCCCACAAGGAAAACTAGCCAGCAAGAAGTCCTGGGTGCAAGGGGCAACTGGTATGAGCCAGTATTCATGGACTACCCGAAGAACAGTAGATTTGGGGATGGGACGGGTATCCCACTCCTTTATGGTAATACCAGAATGCCCCTACCCACTGTTAGGACGGGACTTACCAAGATCGGAGCTCAGATAACTTTCAGACAAGGGGGGCCTCAGGTCACCGATGGCAAGGGCCACCCCATCCAGGTCCTGACCATGAGACTGGAGGATGAATACCGCCTCCACCAGGAGGCGCTCCCGAGAGGATAATATAGACAGATGGCTACAAGAATTCCCCTCGGTTTGGGCAGAGACAGGGGGGATGGGACTAGCCGCTCACAGGACCCTGGTCCTGGTAGAGCTCAAGCCAGGAGAGAGTCCGATAAGGATCAAACAATACTCCATGTCTCAGGAGGCCCGGAAGGGGATCCAGCCACACATCCGGAGACTACGAAGCCTAGGGGTACTAGTTCCTTGCCAGTCTCCCTGGAACACCCCCCTACTGCCGGTCAAAAAGCCTCACACAAATGACTACCGACCGGTACAAGACCTCTGGGAAGTAAATAAGAGGGTCGCAGACATACACCCAACTGTTCCCAACCCATATACTCTCTTGAGCTCCTTGGCGCCCTCCAGGGTCTGGTATACTATACTAGATTTAAAGGACGCCTTCAGTCTGCTGCTGGCACCCCAGAGCCAACCCTTGTTCGCCTTCGAGTGGCATGATCCGGAGGAGGGCTACAGTGGGCAACTCACCCGGACACGGCTACCTCAGGGATTCAAAAATTCGCCCACCATCTTCGACGAGGCACTACACGAGGACGTGGGTGAGTACAGAAGGGAGCACCCTGGCCTCACCCTCCTACAGTACGTAGATGACATCCTGATTGCTGCCGACACGGCCAAAGACTGAGCGAGGGACCCAGGACCTGCTGGCTACCCTGGGGGCCTTAGGGTACCGGGCATCCACGAAGAAGGCTCAGATATCCAGGGAGAGGGTAAGTTACTTGGGATATATCCTGGAGGGCGGACAGCAGCGGTTATCAGATGCCAGACAAACTGACCCTAGGACAGGAGATCTGGATCACGACCCCACACGCCTTTGAAGGGGTCCTGAAACAGCCTCCGGATAGATGGATGAGCAACACACGTATGACTCATTACCAGAGCCTCCTACTCAATCCTCCACGAGTGCGGTTCCACCCCAGTGCAGCCCTCAATCCTGCAACCCTGCTGCCCGACCCTGACCTAGGTGCTCCACTACATGACTGTGCGGGAATCCTGGAACAAGTACATGGATTCCGGACGGACCTGACCGACCGGCCCCTCCCTGATGCCACTTGGTTCACTGATGGCAGCAGCTTTGTGTGAGATGGACACAGGTATGCGGGTGCAGCGGTGGTCACCGAAACGGACACCGTATGGGCGGAGGCTCTACCCTCTGGAACATCAGCCCAGCGAGCAGAGCTCATAGCCCTCACCAAGGCGCTGATGCTGGGAGCTAGAAAACGGCTTAACAACTACCGGATTTGGGAGACCCAGTTTTACTAGACCAGCCCAAATACTCCCAGGAGGAGTTACAGTGGATCAAGAAACTCCCCATGGCCCAGGAGATAAAGGGATGGTGGTATACACCTAACAAGGAGCTCGTGCTGCCAGACCAGCTCGGAGTCTCAATATTAGAGCACATGCATCGGTCTACTCACATGGGGGCCCGAAAATTAAAAGACTTAATCCGACATGCCAGAATCAAGATTCACCAACAGGACACCAAAATAGAGCAAGGTGTATCTGCCTGCAAGACCTGCCAACTCACCAACACGAGGGCCACATCAAATAAAAAAGGAACCAGGCTCAGAGGCACCAGACCGGGAGCCCAATGGGAAGTCGACTTCATTGAAGTCAAGCCAGGAAAGTATGGTTATAAATAAATATCTTTTAGTATTTCCAGACACCTTCTCTGGCTGGGTGGAGGCATACCCAACCAAGCATGAAACGGCTCAGACGGTGGCTAAGAAGCTACTAGAAGACATCTTACCCAGGTATGGTTTTCTTGCCATGGTAGGATCAATGGACCAGCTTTTATCTCGCAGGTAACACAGGCAGTAGCCAAGGCGGTGGGGGCAAACTGGAAATTACATTGTGCTTATAGGCCCCAGAGCTCAGGACAGGTAGAAAGAATGAATAGAACCCTAAAAGAGACCCTTACCAAATTAACCATGGAGACTGGCGGGGACTGGGTGACTCTCCTACCGTACGCCCTTTACCGGGTTAGAAACACTCCTTACACTCTGGGTTTTACTCCCTACGAGATCATGTTTGGCAGGCCACCCCCTGTTATTCCCAACCTTCGGGCTGAACTTCTTGCTGAGTTTAAAGATCAAGAACTTTTTCTTTCCTTGAGCGGGCTCCAGAGGGCGCACGAGGACATTTGGCCGCGCCTCCGTGCCATCTACGAGGCTGGCCCGACCCCGACACCTCATCAGTACAGGCCGGGAGACTGGGTCTACGTCAAGAGGCACCACCAAGAGACCCTCGAGCCGCGCTGGAAGGGACCCTACATCGTGGTACTGACAACCCCCACCGCTCTCAAAGTAGATGGCATCGCGACCTGGGTCCATCACACCCACGTTCGGCCAGCGGACCCCTCCTCGATCCGGAAGGACTTCGTCACGTGATGGGCCGTCAGTCAGGACCAACACAACCTGCTCAAGCTCAAGCTACAGTGCATTCGACCCACCTAATATTGGTAACTCTGTTAACTCTGTTTGTCATTGCTCATGCTGCCGGGAGTCCCCACGCCCCCCAAAACATATCATAGACACCAGCTCGGGGACAATACTTAATCAGACCTCCCAGAGCCACCCCAGGGACACTTGCTTCCCAGAACTTTGCGTAAACCTCCAAACTCTGTTCCCCTTGTCACCATAAATGCAGCCGGTCCCATGATTGGGTCTGTAAGCTACATGACAAGGGGGGAATGAAAGGGTGGGCCTACGCCGGCCGACTCCATCTTGTTCTGTGTCCTTCACCTTGACCACACCTCCTCCCCTTGAGTAACCCCCCCACCCCCAACCTGCCTAACAGGACTCAAACCCTTCCCCAGCCAATCGGCTGAGGCCACAGCCATTACCTCAACAACTGCCCCTAGACCCCAATAAAACCTTTGTCCTTTTGAAACTCTCTCTAGCTCTCTCTCCCCGGGGGAATCTCCCCGCTGCTTCGGTGCAGGTAGGGGATTGAGCTCGAGCTAGCTCGAATAAAGGCTCTTTCGCTTTTGCATCAGACTCGGCTCCCTGGTGGTCTTTGGAGATCATGAATTCTGGGCAGAACAGAAGAAATGGAGGGCCCTAAATGATCATATAGAACAGACTAAGCCCCCCTCCCCCTTCCCAATGACCACTGCTGAACCATAGTGAACTGTGACAGCAAGAATTACAATTTTACGGGTTGCCTGGGTGGCTCTGTTGGTTGAGCGTCAGACTCTCGGTTTCCACTCAGGTCATGATCTCATGGTTTCATGGGTTCAAGCCCCGCGTTGGGCTCTGCTAGCCATGAGGAACCTGCTTAGGATTCTGTCTCCTCTCTCTCTGGCCCTCCCCCACTCGCGCTCTCTGTCTCTCCCTAAATAAATAAATAAACTTTTAAAATTATTTAACAAATACAATTTTATTGTATTAAGCCATTGAGATCGGGGACCTTTGTTGGATGGGTCTACCCCAAATTATACTTGTGCCTAGGAAGATAATTTTAAAACTTCCACCCAGGAAGTTTACAGGACAACTGCCGTGTCTGTGACCAGGCATCCCCAGACTTATAGTCTGTACTGTGCTCCTTAGGAATCAACCCCCAAAAGGCTAAGACACAGATTATGACAGGTTCAGTTCCACAGTGACCTTACATTTAGATATTTCTCAATATTCTTCCAAATAATTGGCATATTTTTCCCATCCCCAGGAGTTTGGGGAGCCACACTAAAAAATAAAACTCAGCCGAGTCACCCTTGTAGGGTGCTTGTAGAGAAGCTTTGGTGTAGATACCTGAATATTTGCATGAATTAGCACCTGTACCTACACTCATAATGTACCTTCATTCAAAGGCCTTATCGAGGGTCACGCATCTCCTGACACCTTTCCAGACTTCTCCCCTCCTACCCTTCTCCCTTGCCCAACCCCAACTGCCCTGGGCCACGCAAAGTCTTTTGTCTGGGTCCCCTAAGCAGTAACAATATCCATCTCCACCATCAGGCTGCTGACCTGCCATTAACACCCGCCTGCACGGTTCTGGGGTGTCACTGCTTCTCTCTCGCTTGCCTCTGCCATGACCGACTGGCACAGGCTTGGATGTCACTTTCAGTTTGGTTCATCATCCTAACCGGCCACTTAAATGCCTGGCAGCTCAACAGTTTGTTCTTAACTGCTGGACTGTCTAAATAGCTCCCACTCAGACATTCCAGAAACTCAAATGCACCAGATTCCAATGCACTTGGGGGCTGATGGCTCAGGTGTGGCTTTTTCTAATCCCCAGCCTTCCTTTTTCCCCCTCTCCTCCAAGTCCTTCTCTCATCAAGGTCTGGTTGCATCACTGAGTTTCTCCTGGATTTATCAGCTGAGCTCCTGTTTCTACTGACTAACGTTGAAGCCTATCATCCCATATCATAGCTCGCTCTCTGGTCAACAGTTGTGTCATGTCGAGACAACAGATTCTGACCCAGGGGAGGGAAGGACGGGAGGCGGATTCCAGGGGCTCTGGCTTGTGTGATGGTAAGAGAAGCATGCTTAGGGGCAGATGGCTGTTTCGCTTTGGGACATACTGTGTTCGAGGTGTTGTCATCCAACCCGGTGGAGATTCCAGAAGGATTTATGAAGAGGTCTGTTGGGTGCTCCCCTGTGCGGATGGAAGGTGAAGGGCATGGGCGCAGACCCCCTGCCAAGTGTGCTGTCGCAGGGGCTTCTGAAGCCTGGGGGGCAATTAGAGTATCTGAGCCACGGGGATCCGCCAATGCTGGGGGGGGGGGGGGGGAAGAAAAAAACAAAAATAAAAAAACAAGAACGGAAGAAGCTCTTCGCCATCTAGCAAAGCATCAGTGCGGTCAGCACATTTGTACCAGAGAAACAAGCACGGCAGCTGACACCTGCTGTTCTTGCAGTGACAAAATAAAAACAAAACCTGAGGCCCCCGCTCCTGGGGAGCCACTGCCTCTGCCAGGTCACAGTGGCCTCACACAAGCTTTTTTTTTTTTTTTTTTTTTTTCCTGCCATAATAATGACTCTCTAGAGATATAACCACCATCGTACGAACAGCATGGACACTGTGAAAAGCCTCAGATGGGAGGACATGGGAAGGTCACAAGAGAGCCAGTTGGAGGTCGGGGGGACTTGCACCTTCCACCCTCCCCGTGGCAGGAAGGGAAGAGCTGAGAGGGGGGCCACGGCTCAGCGAGGAGCTGGGAGCTCAGGGCTGGCTGACAAACCAGCTGCACCGAATCGGGTGCAGAAAAGAGTTGGTGACAGCAACTCCGTGACCAATGCAGCTCCTCTCCCCATCCAGGCTCCCCAGGTGGTCGTAGGGAGCGTGGGAGTGACAATTTTGCCAGTCCGTTCCCATACTCGCTTCTGACCGTGCAGTGGACGCATGTTCGGAAAAGGATGGGCCCGTGCGAGGGCTGTTGGGACCTCCCCAAGCCCCTCAGCCCTCTGCTTTTTGACACCCCTCACCAAGGTAGGAGACCCTCCAAGATATTATGGAAGGATTCCCTGCAGTGAGGAGGTCTGAAAGCTGATGCTTCTGATTTGCTGTGTGATTATGGAAAATTACAACCCTCTTCTGTGGCTACTTCCCTCATATGCATAAAAGGCAGTTAGCATAGTGAAAGGTTTGTGGCAAATGCTCCATAAATAGTAGCTATTTTTATGCCCATGGTGATGATAAAGTTAAATAGGGCGTTTAGACTAAGGACCCATTTCCAAGGCTCCTTCCTCACTTGTGGTGGAACCAGCGAAACATGTTCTTAGCGAGCTGATATAATAATCATCACAGACACTATTTATAAGCACCTACTTGCCAGGCACTAGAGTCCCATTATTTCATTTACTTTTCATACATACCTTGCATGGCAGGTAATATTAACCCCTGTTTGGAAGATAACAAAACTGAAGCCCAGAGAGGTGAAATGACTTGCCCAAGGTTACCAGCTAATAAATGGCAGAGCTAGAGCTGGAAACCAAGTCTTTTCAGTACACCACCGAAGCCACCTCTGTAAAAAATGGAGAAGTCCTATTGAAACAGTATGATGCTTGCAAAAAATCAACATTAGACCAAGAGAATAGAACAGAGAGCCCAGGAATCAATCCCAGCATCACCAGTCAACTGATCCTCAGCAAAGGCGTCAAAAGCACACAATCCGGAAAGGACAGTCTCTTCAATAAATTGTGTTGGGAAAACTGGCTATCTATATGCAAAAGGATGAAACTGGACCCCTATCTCACACCATCTACAAAAATCAACTCAAAATGAATGAAAGACTTAAATGTAAGATTTGAAATTTTTTTTTTTTGAAATTTTTTTTTTTAATTTTTTTGACGTTTTATTTATTTTTGAGACAGAGAGAGACAGAGCATGAACGGGGGAGGGGCAGAGAGAGAGGGAGACACAGAATCGGAAGCAGGCTCCAGGCTCTGAGCCATCAGCCCAGAGCCCGATGCGGGGCTCGAACT